GGTCCAACTAGGCCAGTACTGTGAATCTTGACTGACAGTAATTCTCTGTCATTATGTGCAGGATTCTTTCCTAGCCCTGTTGAGAGACCTGGGATAATTCCTGGTGGTCGCCTATCCAAGAACAATGTAAGCCCAAAATCAGACCAGGTCAGATATATGATGGCGCCAGCCTTCTGTTCAGTGCATTATGAGGTTGAACAAAATCAGCAAATGGCTACAGAGTGCAAACATTTCTGTCCTGGGACCCTTGCAAATAATGTTTTTTAAAAGCAGAATACAGTAGATCTCCAGCTTCTTGGGGACCAGTGTATGTAGTAGAGATCCACGAAAATACTCAGCCCTGTGTCCCTTCCCTTACAAAGTACAGCCCACTTTTTTTCTAGTTAGCACTATAATCTCCTTTCCTACATGCTTACTCCTTTCCCTCCTTTGTTTGAGGCCATTAGCTGATGTCACATACAGTAGTCTCCTTCTCTCTCCTTTCCTCGCTCTCCATCGCCTTCATTTTCTACATGCACCTTGCTATGTACCATACTATGTCTGGAACAGAAGATTCTCTGTTGAAAACTTCAGTATGGAAGAATTGAAAGAAGGGCAATAGTCACTCTGCTGAGAATCCTTTAAATGTTCAGGCACTAACACTTCAAATAGAAACCAATACCCGAAACTGTTTTCTTTTTCTTTCCTGTTTGCACGGTTACGCCATAATCTAAACCAAGTCCACTTCTCTTGTTTCACTACATTACATTAATTTATTTAGACTTACAACATACCTCTTTCTTTGTTATTCTTGAGGATATGACATGCTTCTCCAGTCAGCAGGAAGTTGTCCCACTTATAAAGCTTACACTGAATTGAGACTGGGAGAGATGACATAGACAGACACTGAACTGACCCTTGGAGACAGCGCTGTCGGATTACGTGAATGTGGTCCAAGGAGTTAGTCAGGCGAGGCACAGTGTTAATAGCTACTGTCTGGCTTGTGTGTGTGTGTGTGTCTGTTGGGGGAGAATAAGTAATGCAAGCTGGGTGGGGCACAATGAAACCAAAACAAAGAGTGCAAAAGATGAGAGGTGAAAATTTGAAATTTAGCATGCATTCTTTAAGCACACAGGCAAATCTCTGAACTACTACTTTGAGACAGCATGCCAAAATGCTACAGCAGGAACAAAAATGCACCCACTTGATTTTTTTTAAGTGAAGAGTCACAAATTAGTCTAGAAAATTGCAGTACTATAATATAACTAATGAAACTGGTAACCTCTCCCCCCATTCCATTTTTTCATTATGCATCTATATATTTATTGGCTGTAAATACTATCAGAAAGGAAGTGTCTGCAACACTGAATTTTTCTTCCATACTTTAATCAGACTAGATGATTTCCAAACATTTCTAAAGTAAGAAGAGTTATTTTCTGTGACACTAATGTATTCATCATTTCACTTTCTTCAGCGGCTAAGGATTTGGGTATACATTTGCAACTGACAGGAGCTTCACAAAACAGTAACGTTTTAAGGTCTTGCTGTTTATTTTGCATACCAGTACAAACTTTAGATCTAAGTGCAGATCTCAAAAGACAATCATATTTAGCACAAATGTGTTCTAAAGATCCTGGTAAATTTTCTTTTTCTAACTGACAGCCAATAGCTGGCCTAAACCGACCATGAGATGTTGTAAAAGCAACCCGTAACCATGATTTAGAACAGAGATATGCAACTGGGTACCCTTAAGATGTTTTAGACCACTGGTTCTTAACCTTGGGTTACTCAGGAGTTTTGGACTGCAACTCCCAGAAGCCTTCACCACCAACTGTGCTGGCTGGGGTTTCTGGGAGTTGCAGTTCAAAAACATCCAAGTAACAAAGGTTAAGAACCACTGTTTTAGACTATCACAGGTCACAGCTAACAGAACTGGTGATCAGGAATTATGTACACTGTAGACCAAATAACCTGGAATGCACCAGGTAGTCTAATCCTCAAGATATAAGGGTCAAACTACAAGATCGCATACCCTGTCTTCCATGCTATGACTGGACACAGATGACCTGACATTCATGGTTAAGAATGTATTAATCCTAGGTAAAGAAATGCCCTTAACCAGGACTGGTGATATGAGATGCTATGGCCATACCCTCCAGAGGGGGGAAGAGAATTGCACATGTTAAGGGGGTGTAGAATGTTTAATGTAGTTTTATCTTTAGAATTTAAAGGGCTATAAATCCTGTCATTGACTGCAGATGGGAAATCGTCTGTAGCTTTAATAAGGATATTGAGCAGTATACCTTTATAAACAGGCCCATGTGTAATGAATGGGATGGAATGTCACCTCAAATGGAACACTCTTTATTTACTACCCCACCTAACACTACGGAATATTACCCATAATGCCATCCCCACACCCCAAACAGTTTGGGGTATTGGTGAGGGGATGGATTAGGGCATCCCCAATCAGATTAATCTGCCTAACTATTAGAAGAAGAAAATGTGTCATACTGTATATCTGCCAATTGCAGTAACAAACCTACATCCAGTATCACATCTAGTTTATTCCCAGGCTATTCAAGAAGTTCAGAATTACCAAACATGGTGGCATCCAAATTCATGAGCCTTACTTATAACATCAGGGTTGGAGCCCAACAGCCTTGTGAGTCATTTGCTTATTGCAGAAAAGCCAGAGAAGAAACATCTGCTCCTGAGATAAAGCAGAGGTCTCTGTATCCAGACTTGCACCAAGGCACAGCTCTTGTATGTAGTAAGTGACATTGTCAATTACCTGAGAGTACGTATTTTCAGAACAAAATGCCAACCACTTTTATTCCTGCCTTTACAAACTCAACTCATCTAACACTGTGCAACCTTAACAGCAGCCCCACCTCCTGGTTCCTGTTAGATATATATATTGCATATGTATGTGCATGCACATTAACACTGGGACAATGTTTTGATAACTGTAAAAGACCGATATCAAAATTCAAGGTTTTGTGTGGATACAGCTTTAATTACTCTTCTGGACATTCATTCTGAAGACAAAAGAATGGAATGTATTAGCACTCAGGGATGCAGAGTGTGAACTGAAGAATGGATGTTTTCAAGTCAACAACACAGTTCTAAGTCTAAAATTGTTGGAACAGAAAGGAAAAAGATTATCCATTCAATAGCAATCTTTAAAACTGCCTTGACTATTCCTATCTCACCTAAAAAAGAAACAGAACCCTGAATGTATACAAATAACAAGATTTTTTGTAACAATCAGCAGCAGATAGATAGATAGATAGATAGATAGATAGAGAGAGAGAGAGAGAGAGAGAGAGAGAACATATAATTTGGGATATTTTAAGATAAGCAATCTTTCTATCTAGCTCTAAAAGCCAATCTAAAACAAACATTACTCATTATTTGAACCTCAAAAGCTATCTTTTGAACATAGGAAACTGAAATGCCCTTTATTAATATTCTTTATTAAGATTCTTTAAATTTTCTAAAATAGTATTAAATCAATTTTTACAATGTTTTAATTATTTCTGCTTAGAAAGCTAGAATACAATATACACAATCAGTGGAAGATTTGCTACATTTCAAATTTCCTTGATAATTCCATTTTCTTTAATCTGTGTGTAGAAAAGTGCACACAGTTTCTAAATATTCAGACATTCTTCTTTCAGAAAGCTGTTTTATAGTGTTGTATACTGGTTTCTACACAGGCTTAGAACAGACTGCAAGATGCACCATTGAACATCTGCTGCATTTCACCCCTTGGGCTACATAGTCCCTTACAAAGCATAGTTTCTCCTTCACTGAAGTATTCCTATGTATTTTTCATGGAGCTATTTCAGTATTAAGGTATTTCAAAAATGATAGGAAGAATTGCAGCATGCATCCTGAGGATGTTCCTGCTGAAGCCACTGTGCAGTTTGGGAAGGGCTGGCACTTGTATATTTCCCACCATATTTTTCAAAGAGCCAGTTAACATAATAATTAATATGAAACATATTTCAAAGCAACTGATTACAAGGAGATAGCTCAAGCCACATACACACACACACACACATACACACACACACAAATTTTGGAATGCTATAATCATACAAGGAGATAGCTCAAGCCACATACACACACACACACACACAAATTTTGGGATGCTATAATCATACGCATATATCCCTGGGAATAAGTTCCACTGGATATAGCATGGCTTATTTCTTAGTAAATATGCATAGGATTGCAACCTGGTAAATCTTTAAGAAATGAATCCCTTCCCTGTAGAAAGACCAGTCAAAAGTTGGGTGTGGCCATGTATTTTAGGCTGCCCTCACTCTTGTTCATGTTCATATAGTGGTATCACAAACATACGGCTTCTGGAGGCATGTAAGAAAAGAATATATATTTATGATAGTTTGACTTCTTTGATTGAACTGGTGACTAAAGATAAACCAGTTCAAACACCTGCAAGATGCAAAATCAGTGCCATGGCTAGAGACCTATACCGTTCCCCTTCTAACATTCGTATCATTTTGTCTTTTAGGAAAGAATACTACAGAGTGAAACTATTCCTGCAAGGCATACTATGTCAACAACAATCTTACGAAATAGGCAGCTATGTGTAATTTAAGAATCCCTCAGCCCCTGTACATTCAATTTAACATTTTATTGTCTAGCATTAAAAGATGGCCAAAAATAATTAGCTGTTTATCAGCACTGACAACAAATTACGACTACAACCTGCACACACCAGATACTGACCTTCTGTCTACACACTATACTGTCTCACCAATGATACCACTACAACCTCTTTAATGCTTACAAGATATCAAAACCTACTAAGAAAAGGACATATGGTAATATTTTCCTCCATTTTCCACAGCCGAAAACAAACAAAAGATGCAATGGTAGAAAAAAAAATTAAAGGGCTTTCCTACATCTTTATTTTTAAGACTCCAGACCACTCCTATGGTCTCACTATACTGTACAGTATATACATTTGCTGTGTCTGTTTACATTACCTTCTTGGGTCTCTTCTTTTTCTGATTACTTCCATTGTATTTTTCTCCACCATCACTCTTCTGAGCTGCTTCCTCATTCATCATTTTGAATAGTTTGCAAAGCACCGAGTGCTGCCATTAAACCTTCTCAAAGATACAGACCATTAGCAAATGTGTCACTTGCTGAGGAGGAGGAGGGGTGTGTATGCAGAGAGGGGGAGGGTAGGAGAGAGGAAAGGAAGCGTACGCACAGGGAGAGGGTGAGCATGATGGTGTTGCCATGGCAGCAGCTACCACAACTGTTTATCTGACTGCATTGTTAAATCTGATTTAACTAATTATCACAGGATCTTGCTTCTTTCGCAGAAAAAAAAAAAGCTCCTGAATGGAACATATAGAGATTAGAACACAATTAGGGAACAAGTGTAATGACCTGGTTTCGTAGTTAATGTAGACAGATAGATATGTGTGTACGGGTGCACGTGCGCATGCACATGCATGTGTGTGTATGTGTATGAGCATGTGTGTGTGTGTGTGTGTGTGTACACAGAGAGAGAATGTATGTATCCATCACTTTCTGAATACTGTACTCAGATGCCATACATGAAATCTGTCATAATATTGTGTTGGGAAAACAAGTATACTGACCTAGTTAGAATACTTAAAATGAGATACAGATATCTGAAAGCTATGGTGCCCTCCTGTCATAATATTAGGGAGCTCACTGTACCAACTTTGCTCTTTACACCATATATATTACACTTGCATGTTTTCCACATGATCTTTTCTTTTATTCACTGATTTTAAAGTCCCAATATAGTTTCTCACACTAGCACTCTCTTTTTTACCATGAACTTCAGATTTTGATCTAAGACGGGGTGGGCAATTAATTTCTATAGGGGATCACATGAAAAATCTGAAATGTGTCCGGGGCCAAACCAACTTTACTTTAAAATAGACCCCCATTAGGTGGGTAGTAATAGGCCCCCATTGGGTGAGGCCCTGCGGTGAACGAACTACAAGGATGACATAGCTAACTCCCTAAACTTTTTTAGGACTCTAGTGATGACCAGCCGGCCAGACAGGAGCAGCTCGCGGGCCATATGTGGCCCGCAGGCTGCACTTTGCCCAGGTCTGGTCTAAGCATACTAATTTTAGAGATTTATAGTATTAGAAAAATATGTTGAGTGTGTATTTTAATGCACATCTATCTAATCAGAGCTTCTTTAATCAATCAAGAATGCAAGTCATCCTTCAGGTTTTGTGAGCCAGTTCCAAAATCAAACAATGCATATCAAATAGGAATGTACATAAAAATGCATAAACTCACAAACATAAGGTACAAAATGCATTCTGCTAGGGGTCTGTAGAGAAAAATGCACATATGACATAAAATTGCAAAAATGCACCCACTTGAATTTTTTTAAGTGAAGAGTCACAAATTGGTCTAGAAAATTACAGTACTATAATAGAACTAATGAAACTGGCAACCTCTCCCCCCATTCCATTTTTTCATTATGCATCTATATATTTATTGGCTGTAAATACTATCAGAAAGGAAGTGTCTGCAAAACAACTAAGTTTGAAATGCAAAGAGAAATTTTGACAAAAATGTGGACAAATTTTTATGTGGGCTTCTTTATAAAAATCTGTAAACTGTTGTGGAAATGGGCCAGAAGAACTTTAAGACTGGAATAATCAAGAACTGAGCAAAAAATAAAATGGAAAAAATAACCCCATCTCTGACAAATGTATCAGATGTTTATTAACATATTCAGATGGGGCACAGTCAGAAGCCCAGAGGCAGTCTGTGCACAGCCCCCACTCAGTTTTCCAGCATGCTGCAAAAGCAATCTTAGTCTTTATTGCTCTAGGTGGGAGTCCTGAAGGCTTCTCTTCCACTACTAAGATCATTGCTTCTCTGCCAGTAGTGTGCCAGTGGTGCAGAAACTGGAGGCAGATGTGAAAGCCCATTCTAACCATGGCGATCCTGTTTCTAAGACCCACCTCTAGAAGCAGTTGTATGTTTTCTGTGCTTGAAAGTGTCCAAGATGTATATATCTGCAACCCTTGTCTCCCTAGCCAGCACCACATGTAGCCTTCCACGGAAAATGCTGTGCACCCCAGATACAGTATATATTTGAGATATTTAGCATATTTTTTGTACTGTCAGGCAAAAAACAAAAACAAAACAGGAGACAAAAATGTTGGGGCTCTTTAAAGACTAAGTGCTATGTTTTAATGCGACATTTCATGGATCTGAGAACCTTTTATGTCCTCAGACATAAGACTGAGACTATAGGACTATCATATTTATACACAGTCCCATGACCAGGTGGGGATACAGATAAGGAACAAATGGTTTGTTAGTAATGGAATAGGCTTCCAGGCTGTGAAATAATATCAGTGATAAAGTAACAATTGCATAGTTGACAGAGTGTTAAACTATGGAAATCAGTGTAGGTTTTAACACTTAGTAATGGCTTAGGAATGCTTGATTGATATTCAGTTCTTCTAAGTGGGTCTCCAGCATCCTTATATGCTTCATCTCAGCAGTTAATATTTCAAGTCTCATCTTGTAGCATTTCCCCCAGCCCCCCCAAAAAACCCAGTGACTTTCAGGTCATTCATAGAGTGTCCAGGTAGACTAAATGCCAGATTTATGTCCATTAATTCTTTAGCATTGAAATTGTAGGATGCAGAAAGTCATTGTTGTACACACACACACACACACACACACACACACACACACACACACACACACACACACACACACACACACACACACACACACACACAGAGAGAGAGAGAGAGAGAGAGAGAGAGAGAGAGAGAGATCTGACTTCAGATATGGCAATTTAATATAAGTGTGGGAATACAACACTGGCTAAAAATACAGCATTATTCAGTCCAGGTAGCCTAAAATAAAAATGTAAGATGATTAATATCTCAATTATCACTCATTTGTCCTACTCTGCCAATCTACTGGAAATCGTTACAGTTAGCAGATGGGCTCTGGGGCCTCAAGTGGGAAAAATCTGGTGATCCCAATGTATTGTTTGCTAAGGCAACATGAATTTCAAAAGAATATTAATACATTTAGTGTGCAGATTTCAGTTTCTGGACGGCTGTCCATGTCAGTGATTACAAAACATTTTCTGGCAAATTGCTGCACAAGCTGTCACACTTCATGCACCAAAGGCCCTTAGAAACCACAGGGTACGGAGATCAAGCTGTTAACCTGCTAATGGCACAATTCTCCATTCTTTTACTCATCAGACTGCCATCATCTTCCACTAATATGTCAGTTCACAGAAACAACTATGGTATGGGAGATCAATATAAGTAAAACACAGCAGGGATACTTGTCGTGTTTAATTCTCATCATTTGGCTTGTAATATATTTACATTTTTAAATCTTTTTTGTGGGTGTGCATATTGGTAGAGGGAAGCCAAGCTTTAATACATGCCCTAGAATACTCCAAGTAGCTTGTCATTAGTCTTTACTTTGTGGCTTTGTATTATTATTTTTACACTTAATTAAAGTCCCACTAAAGAACTGAAGCAGATGTGAAAACCAGCTGCTAAGACAGCAGGATGTCCATTCAGTCAAAGCAGAAGCAACCGTAAACCATTCTACTGATTTGCCTCAAGGACACAAGTACATATCTGTTTTCACTTATGCAATTCAACCACAATTCAACACAGGATTGAAAACAACAGATTTACAAATTTATCTATACATATTTATTTGGAAATAAATCCCACAGGGTAACACTGCACCAATTTGCAGTTAAGAATGCATCAGATTGCACCAGACTGAAGTTTACATAAGTTTACTTAGACATTAGACTCTCTGCATATAATGGGACTAATTCTTTAGCACTCCCTCTTGGATACACACCTTAACATGGTGAACATGGAGGCAAGGTGAGAGCAACACTGTCAGAAGGCTTGAGTCTGTTATGAGTCTGAACTATTAGCAGGCTCACCCATGCTGGAATGGCCAAACCTGAGATATGAAACTAAAATGCATGCATTATTTTCAGGAATGAATTGTTTCATCTGCAGAAAAGAACTGATCGTTTCAACAGTGATGAAGCTATGGAAATTCTTGAAGAACTAGTAAGCTGCAACAGTAGTGGAATGCTACACTGGCAGAGGAACTTTCATAATCAGTGGAAGTGACACTCAAGCTAACTCTACTTAGCACAGAGCAGAAGAAGTCAATGCTAAACCACTTCTGAATGGCATCTTCAAAAACCAATGATGAGACAAACCAAAATGAGACAAGAGAGTGGTGGAAAAATGTGACTCTTACGTTGGAAGGCAATCAATCGAGAACTGCCAACTATAGGGCCTTCTCTGTGGCCACTCCCAGGTCCTGAAACATTTTGCCTAGTGAGGCAAGGTTTGTTTCCCTGCCTGCTGTTCTTCCATTAGCAGCTGAAGACCTTTTTATTCTATCAGGGCTTTGGCGATTAAGAGCCTCAAATGATATTTTAGCCATGTACTAGTTTGCTCTTTTGAAAGGCAAACTAGTATTAGTATTTTAATTAACTATTCTAATAAGATGTTGTATTTAATTCAATTTTATTGCTCATAATTTAAATTTTCTATTGTTTTTACCAAAGCCAACTTGTGTTTCATTTCTGTGAGAAAGGTGGAAAAGGAAAGGAAAGGACAGGAAAATCTAAGGAAAATCAAAAGTACATATGAGCAGTGCTGTTACTTAAGAACCAAGTGGATTAAAGCTCAAAGGACTTCTAACTGCTGATGCGTACAGAAGCAACAGAAAAATCTGATGCTGCACAGCACTTATAATTAGAACATGGAATGTAGAAGTTTGAATCAAAATAAGCTTGCAATTGTAAAAACATGAACATGGGCTGAAAAAAAGTGGACTGGAATAGGACATTTCACTCAAACAATTACAAGTTATTTTACTCTGGGGAACACGGACCCAGAAAAAATGGTGCAGTTTATGCTCCATGCAAAGATACTGAAAAGGAAATTGAAAGCTTTTGTGCAAATGTACAGAAAGAAATCAATCACACTTCAAAATAGGATGTGCTGATGATCCTGGACAAGGGAAATGCCAAAGTAGGAAGTAAAGCAGATGCAGGCATCACTGGAGAATTTTGCCTAAGTGTTAGAAACAAAGCAGAAGAGTGATTAGA